GGGGGGGGGAAGCAACAAAAAAGACGGAGAAACCGAGATGAACATAACTGCTGCAAGAGAGCTACATGGTCAACACAGATGTGATTTGCTCCAGTCCAGGGAGGAAAGATCCACAAGTCAAGGTAGTATCTTTCATTAGAACTATTAGAATAGTTGGGAAAAGGAAGGTAAGTTGTCAGCTACCTAAACAGCTCTCCAAGGAAATCAACGAAGACAGATCTGGAACAGAGCAAAAAGCCCTACTAGTTACCAAATGTTCTCAATTGCTTGTTTGTTCATCATTACTGAAAAATACTAGTACATTTTTATGCCTTTCAGTAACTGCTATAATGATAACTTTTCTATTAATCTGGAATTGTTGGATGCATAGAATACGTGCTAGATACTAATTGTAGATTACTTGTATTTAGAAGAAATACATTTTAACATTAAATTTTCCTACCTTGGATGACTTTTGTTCCAAATGTAGTATTAATTATATCCAAACCCTCAGGTAACATAGCAGATTGATCATGTGATCTGCCCAATGGTGCTTGGCGATTCCTAAAGTAGACTGCTTCTTTTTTGTCTTGTATTTTTTCTTGAAAGTAAGTTTTGGTAGGTGGATTTATCAATGAAGCTGCCTAAAGACATCACAAACAACACAAGAGGCAGGAAAACCAGCAAATTTTAATCATTCACACATCAATATGGCTACCCCCTCACACACACACAAACAAAAGTTTGATCATAAGTGTTCTAATGAGATCTTGTATGATCACACTGACATAATTTTATCTATCAAGTTACAAAACTGCATTTTGAGAAAATACCACTAATAATAAGTGCTATGCTAAATCTCCAGCTAAATGAAATACACATTATGAGACAGAACTTTTTAATTCCACTTGTTAATTTATAAAATCTCAGACTGCGCCCATTCTGTTCTGAGCATACATTAGAATCTATAATAAAATTATAATATGACCAAAACTTAAGTATGAATATTATTATCATTATAACATCTCTGGAACAAAGTCTCCTGGTGCTTATGATTAAATACATCTATTGTCTAGCAGTTAAGACTATTATCTAAACAGCTACTCTCAATTCTGCTGATGGAGAATTTAAAGACAGTATTTCAAGATATACAGTAATATGGCATAACACATAACAACAGAAATTACTTCATCAGGGTTTTCAAAGCTTAGCACTAGGTTGGACAAAATTTTTTTCTCAGTGTACACACTGGGCTTTGGTCAATAAAAGTTACTTTTAAAATTAGGTCAACTTTGGGGGTGATCTCGGAAAAAAAAAGTTTCAAAAATATCAAAACAGGGTATACTGATTTTCCAAAATCATGTGATTTTTCAGGCTACCCATCAAAGTCATCAGGACTCTAGAGAAGGTTTATCATTAGACTCTTGTTGAATGTTGTATAAAGAAATATTAAAAACAGTAGTATAAAATACAATTGATCCAAACCCACATTTACAGAACTCACCAAGATTCCAACTCTTCCTCCATTTACTATTTAATTAATTATGCAGAGTGAAACAGTCTTCAACAGATCAATCCATTCAATGTAAAACTTCTTAGGAGGGACACCAAGAGCCTGATTTTTTTTATTTTGGATATGCCTAATAAATGTCCTACTCAACATCCTCTAATATCAGGGATTATGTGTTTCAATTTGAAGACTTATTTTTGAGACCTGAACTCCTCTTTGCCTCAACCTAATTTATAAAATTGAAAACTACTAATTTACAACTCCAACTAATAAAATGCATCATAAAAGTGTATTTTACCAATACAACTGCTATTTTTAGAGATTAGCACAATAATCATGTGATTAAATCACCTACGATCTCCTCAGTTGTTCAATTACATCTTACAAAAACAATTTCTGAAGCAAAGAATACACACAAGATAATCTGACATATCCAAACATCACTTTTTATCTAACAAAATCAGTTTCAACCCAAAAGTAAGAAAGAATACATAATTATTATACTGAACTATAAGCACATTCTCAGATAGCAGTTATCTTGCTAAGAGCTAATAATCTGTAATCAATAAAGAAGAAAGCAGCAAAATTTGTGGGTAGAAGACTGTTCATTAACTTAAAAGTTGAAATGAAATTAATAATTTGGTAGTCATTGCAAAAGTTATTTGATAAAAAAACACTTGAAGTTCCATGACTTTTATTTCAAACACGCTAATTAAATCCTATGAATTGATCTCAGAATTCAGATAATCTACAACTGCAGCGAAATGCTGCAATTTAAATCACTCAGCTATGTACCTTTATCCCTACCTATGAAGAAATCAGTTGCTCTTATTAAAGACATTCTTAAGTTGTCCATTCTACAACAAAAGTAAATGAATCACATTCTTACACTGCACGAAGAGCATGACTCTATGCCATGTGTCATGTGAGCTGCAATGTCAGGATCATCTGCTCTGCCGTAGAATATTCCTTCAACAACAGGAGCTGGATTTGTTGTATTTCAAAACTTTCGCACAGTAGTTGGAGTAATGGGCTATACAGAAGGCAAAGCAAAAACAATTTTACACCAGATATTCAAAAAATACTAATGAAAAGAAAATCATAGAATGGTTTGGGTTGGAAGAGACCTTAAAGATCATCTAGTTCCAACCCCCCTGCCATGGGCAGGGACACCCTCCACTACACCACGTTGCCCAAAGCCTCATCCAACCTGGTCTTAAACACTTCCAGGGATGGGGCATCCACAACCTCTCTGGGCAACCTGTTCCAGGGCCTCACCACTCTCACAGTAAAGAATTTCTCTCTAACATCTAGTCTAAATTGACCCTCCGTCAGCTTAAACCCATTACCCCTTGTCCTGTCACTACACTCCCTGATAAACAGTCCCTCACCGTCTTTCCTGTAGGCCTCCTTCAGGTACTGGTAAACCGCAGTTAGATCTCCCCGGAGCTGCCTTTTCTCCAGGCTGAACAATCCCAACTCTCTCAGCCTGTCCTCATAGGAGAGGTGCTCCATCCCCCTGATCAGCTTCGTGGCCCTCCTCTGTACTGCCATTTCAGTATGATTCCATAGAGGTAAGAACAAAATATAAGGACATTTTAGGGCTGTAACACATGCGTATGCTCCTGCAGATGCTGATATTCTGAGCATAAGGTCAACATAGCCCAGCCTAAATCTTATCAACCCAGCAACAGAAGTAATGAGAGAGTTGCTAAGTTTCAACTATCTGGTTCCATCTTTAAGATGGGTAACAGCTTCTTCACATACACTTCATGAAAAGTAGATGTTACCTTTATCAACTTCAGAAACCTTTAACCTGATTCACAACAATTTCACCATCAATGAAGCAATGTCAGAAATTATTTTAACCACAGTTTTGGGTTTTTTTTAATTACCCATTTAAAGGTAGAGCTGCTATTTAAGGGATTTGTTTGTGTGTCTCTGACTCTTCAGGGGCATGGGAAAGGACCAGTGGGAAGCACAATTCTGAGGGCCATCCTTGACAAGGAAGAAGGACCTCCATCAGAAGCAATTCCTATTAATAATCACTATAATTGTATTACCAGAAAAAAACTGTCTAAAACAATTCTATTTAGTCCAATCTAAGCAGCCATGGTCAATTTTCTAAAACATGCATAGTGAAAAAGAACCACTAGAAGTGTGTTACAATCCTACCAGCTATTCTCTATGTTCCCATGTGACAAAAACGAGCATCAAAAAACCCCAGTAGTTTCTAAAGAGAAGGGATGTATTAAAAATGACTAAGGTTTCACTGATTTATTTTTTTTAGGGCCTGTCTCAAAGTAAAATCACTAATGCAAAATTATTACAAAAGTTTCACAAAGAGCGTCTGATAAACCAACTCACCCGGGGTAAAACCTCAGTGAGGCAACTCGCAGCTGTATCACCAGTGGGAAGCAACTTTCCAGCCTAAACAATACAATCAAAAAATAAGGCATAACCAAACCCATTGTACTAATAAGCACAACTAGTCAAATTGGGATCTGACATGTTGCACAAGATGTTGTTAATTGTCCCCGTTTTGATAAAAGAGAGAGGAAGAAAAAAAAAAAAGGAGCCACACACATTTTTCTGGGGAAAAAGGGGTGACCCCACTCAGATGCCCCTGCCTGCCCCACACGCTGCCCCTCCTCCAGCCTCTTCCTTCAGCCCACGGCAAGACCCCGGCCCCAGAAAGGCGCAGAGAGCGGATGGGCGGCAACGGTAGGACCCTTTCGGCGAAGGCACTCACGGCCGACAGCTCGGGAAACC